CTGAGCCAGCATCTTCCTATTCAACATTAAGTATCTAAATCTTAGGCACTAAACTGGTCATCATAGCTTTCCTTTGGAGTTATCAGGGAGACATAAGCACGTCCAGAATGTTAATTCATCTGACTTAGGACAAAACAAGTTACATAATTACAAAATCATAGAATGTTTTGGGATGGAAGGGATTTTTAAAGATCATCCAGTCCAACCCTTCTGCAGTGAGAAGGGATGTCTTTAGAAGCTATTCAGACCTCTTTCCAACCTGACCTTTAATGTTTCCCATGATGGGGCTATTACCACACTAGTTCCAACTGTCCTCTGGAATTGAACAATTCTATCTGATAGTAAAAAGACAGCCTAGAGCTTAGGCTAGTCATCTCACTCTAGAGACATCTAACCCAAGCAAAATTCAGTAAATTTCACTCTATATATTTTAAGCAGAACTTAGTATTTAGCTTTAAACCATGCCTCAATCCACAAGCAGTTCTTGTAAATCAAACTAGAAGCTTAAGGGCAAGGTACTATTTCATTATGTTGCAATGGTTTGAAGGTGTGCCAGTGGACCTATAGACTGGTCATTAGGAAGCATTTCTTTACTGGGAGGGTGGTCAAGCACTGGAATAATCTTCCTAGAGAGGTGACCAATGCCCCAATCCTGTCAACGTTTAAGAAGCGTAGGGACAATGGCCTTATTAACACAATTCAACTTGATCAGCCCTGAATTGGTCAGGCAGTTGGACTCGATGATCACGGTAGGTCCCTTCCAATTGAAGTAGTCAGTTCTAGTCTATTTCACATGAAAAATATGAATGAGTATTTCTCTACATCTTCATAAAATATTAACCCAGGGACACTCCCCCACTCCCGGGGGCAAGTGCACATTTCTTCAATCACGTCGCAGCTCCAGGATTTCAAGATAAGACCCAGGATGCACCACTTTATGTTCCTGTGATACATACACTCAGTTTCTGCAGGAAAGATGTTTACTAGCTGCCCAGGATCCATGACATGCTCCAAGCTAGTCCCAGAGTGGATTCCCAGGGAACTGGGATTCCAGGAGGTATTGCAGCATAGTCTTTCATACAGGTCACATGCAGCTTCTGATGCTCTTATTTAAAGTCACTCTATTATAAAGATAATGGGCAAGGTACTGTTAAAAATGTAAGTAAAGCCTGGCATCTGGATCTACTCTTGAAAAACCACTACCCAAAGACCTCTGGTGTGGAATACACTCCATAACCAAGAGAAATACCATATTCTTTCCCCTCAGCTGTTATTGCAAAATGTTAGTTTCCAGTCTTTGTAAAGAGCTCACTTGTTTAATACAAACTCATAGCATTTTTGAATGTTCTTGTCAATTTCATACATAATGCCACTTTATTTTGTGGTTTTCAACTGACTGGAAATTTTCTCTATTTTAAATAGATATTTTCCTTATTTTGCAAAAAGGAAAAGAAACACAACTAAGAGAGCTTTTTGAATTAAAATAATTCTGTTAGAAAAACAATGTAAGAAGGAAAATATTTCAAAGATAAAAAAATTCTTTGGATTTTCCCCTTTTCCCCATTTAAAGAGGGCAATATGACAATTTTTTTGTGTTTATTTCTCAAAAAAATGAAGCTAGCCATAAAAAAAAAATAATCCAATTGCTTCCTCTCACAACAGTTTCTCAGTCTGGAGGAGAATGCCACGATATGCCTGCTAAATTTCAGCTATGCGCACAATCATTTCATAATTTTCCTAATGTGCTCCCAAGCACCCTCTTTTGTTATGGTATAATTCTCAGAAACATAAACACGCATTTCATTATATGATATAAAAAAAATTGTTGCCTTAGTTAAATTGTCATTGCCTTTTCTCCCCGTTCCCTCCTACAGGCTGCATAGACCCAAAACCAGACAATTCTAAACTGACATGTTAACTCAGTACTCAGCTTATTTATATACACTTCCTTTCTCCCTCATATTCATTTCTTTTCCTTGATTAACTCTTAATATCAGCCCTCTACCCCTAATATACAGACAAATTAAGAAAAACAGTTTTGTCTTTTCATAATACCTGTTTTTGCATTCTGAAGATAAATAATTTCCACCTCACTTCTCTTTACATTTGAATTCCGAGTACCATAATGTTCATGCTATTTCTAATTCATTAATATATTACTTTATTAGATTCTCACATCTGAACAAAATGCAAAACCTCAGGTAGATCACATTTTTAAAAATCAACTTTTTTGCCCATTATTCACTTGGCCTTTTTGCTTAGTGACTGGTCTCATAAGTATTAAGAAGTTGGTATCATCATTTTTCACACTAGTGTGACTAAATATGCTAACAGAGGTGGACAAGCAAAATACCTCCTTCCTCCACTGGTTTTATGTCTAACATAATGCTTAACTATTAAGAGCTTGAGTTGTGGAAATACAGGTGCTACTTTTGAATTTGGTATCCTGTAGAAGAGAGATAGTACTTCAGCAGTTACCTGGGTTACTTTTTCTGCATATGAAGGAGGCAAACTTACAGAAAATGCTTGGAGGTGAATACAGACTTTTTTAGGCCTTTCAGGAAAGCCTTCATAAGGCTTTTCTGTAATACACTTTAATCACCCAAGCTGTTCAGTTCCCTTTGTTTCTTTATGCTTTTATGCTATACATGATAATCACATACAGGTTATTTCATTTGACAATTGGACACTTATTATTCACAAATTCTTAATACTGACTCTGTACAGTTCTTTTATTTTTCTTTAAAAAGGGTGGTTTAAACCACAGAGAACTTTAGAGTTTATCCTTCTATTTGTCTGGACTTTGGGAAGAAGAAAGAGGAGCTACAAAAATATGGTAATCACCACATATTAGGGAAAAGTACTTGCTTTTTTGATAATAAGCTACTCTCTTAACAAAATCACTCATATTTCCAATAGCAATGTGTATTTTTCTGGCCATCAGAATGACATCTATCAAAATGTCAGCACCTTGCACCCAAAAAGACAGAGACCTTCATTCAGCTGTCACGTGATTTCAATGACTTAGATCTACTTTCAGTCAAAAATCTGAATTCAAGTTTAGTATTGTCTCAAAACAGCTTTGAGGCCATGTGGGAAATGAGGTAAGAAGGAGGCAACATACAGTATCTGGACAAACTAGAAGGCAAACCAAAAAATGTGGGATTTAAAGGAATCAGTATTTTCCTTTCAGTGGTGGTAGGTCTTCAAGCAGTTACGGTAGTCATTGTACTGATTCATTGTATACAATGGCAAATAGAGAAAAGGATTAGTTTTTTCACAGCATCGCTTTTGAAGAGGTATGAAATGCATCCTGAGGACTGCAGAGGAGGATATCCTATCCGCAGAGGATAGGAAAAGCCCAACTCCTTCAAAGAGCCAGACTGCAACAGAGGCATAAGCCCTCAAGGACAAGAGTCTTGGACTTTTATCGATTCCTAACAGTGGACAGAACTTCATAACCTTGACCAATGCAAAAAAAAAATTATCTTCCGATAAAATGTTAGGAGGAAATCTCCTCAAGGCAATTCTAATTGATATCTCACCCTTTTGTGACTTCTTTTTCCCTGCAGAAATACAACTCAGACATACATTTTTACTTACACTCTCAGTAAATATAAAATGGCATGCATTCTTTAACACTAACAATCTCAAGTAGTAATAGGTAGAACAGATTTTAAAAAACCCATACACATAACTCTTTCTCTATTTCTATTACTGTTATTAAATTCTATCTAGTTCATTTGGTTATAATATATGTGCATGCACACTTTACATATCATCAGATTTGTGTTGGCATGTACAAAGTCAGCGTGGGAAGCATTCAAGCAAGGTTAACTTCAGAAGAAACACCTCTGAAAGAGTATTCAGGGGCGGAACCATGTCTTAAACTTTTAAAAAGTATCCTTCCATCAAAGAACATCAAAATGTTTTAAAGACATACACATAGAAACTGAAGCATGTAGAGTTCTCTTTGGAACAGAAACCATTTAATGCAGTCAGTGTACATTACATTTCACTGCAGCCAAGGTGTACTAGAAATTCAGTGCCTATGCAAGGAAAATCTCAATCAAATGACATGGACACTCCAACATCTGCATCAAGGAAACACCAGACTAGAAAATTATGGCCTGATACTACAAACAATTACTAAATACTTACATGCAAAACCAGTCATCAGTGTGTGTGGTGGGGTGTAGGGGTGTAGGTGTTTATGCTTACACACATGTGTGTGTGTCTTCAGAGTGCATTTTAATCTGTTTTATGTTGATGAAAAACTGTGTTGATTCTATAGAGATACAATGTAGCTGTAGTTTTAGGAAGTTTGAGTGCTTAATGCTTTGAAGAATCTTTTATTCCTCTGTTTCTCTTAGCCACTGAAAAGCAGAGATGGTGACGTTTACTTTATTTTCAGGCAATGTCTATGATGAATGTTAGATGTATTTCTGTTAATGTAATTTTGAAACAACAATATAAAAAGTGTCAAATCAAGAACTGAACTCACTGAAACTCTACCAAAATCTTTCAGTCCACTCATAAAAGACAGAAAGAACCAGAAGATCACAGTGTAATGACACATTAAATGCTTACCATACTCAGCAGGTTCTATGTAGAAACAGTAATTCCATGTAATTAATAAAAATGCACTTGTTTACTATGCTGTGAATGAAGAGCTTAGCAAGGTGCACAGACTTTGTGCAACTGGTTTCAGAAAGAAATACATATCACATTATAATACATTTGATAACCACCGGTAGTTGAAAAAGGGGTCAACTCTACTCTTCCCACTGCTTACCTGAGAAGGTCTGGCACACTGCTTACCATGTTCAAGCATTTGCAAAGTATGCTGAGAAAAGTGTGCAGGACCAGGAAGTCCAATCCCAGTATGATTCTCTTCCCACACTTCGTTAGTCTTCTCATGTCTTCTGCGTGCACCCGATTTCTTGTGCACTTTTTTTTTTTTACTTGTTGGTAACATGTCAGGTTGGTATCATACCTACCCTAGTTGTTTTTACTTTATTTCCAGAGGAACAGCTCCATCCCTTACGATCTGGAAGAACTTTACATTCCTCCCCTTCAAGACATGGTTGCATGTGGCACCACCATTTCTGCTCCACTATTGAAGCTACAAGAGAGGAAAACAAACACATTTGCATGTTGTTCAGACACTCCAATACGTTATTATTTTGCAACATTTCTTTTATTTTCTAGGATAATGTTAGAAATATAGTGACTGAGAGCTAGTCTGTGATTTTGAGCCAGCTCAGAAGCTTTGTAAGAAATTAGGTCTCAATTTGCACAAGGTGCTTCAAAGTAAATATCTTTACTATGTTTTTTTATCTAATTTACTGCAATTCAGGAATTAATTTCATAGCATTTCTTTCCAATCCTCACATTTTCTTACTTAGTCAGATTTCAAAGTTTTAAGTGGAACCTCTTCTTCTGAGTTAGCTTATTTTGCCTCATCTACTATATAGTCTCGCATAGCCTGATTAAATTTATTCCCCAACGATGCCACATTTACAGCTTCTCTGACAGCCAACAACATATCAGCAGTAAAGAGATCATGTAAAGGGTGAATCCATCCTGCTCCTTTTTCAGAGATGCGAAAAAGCAGCTAGCATTTTCGCAAATAAAACATATGAGCCTATGTCAGATTTGTTAAGTAAAACATCAATATTGCACTGTGAACAGGAAAAATAACATTGGTCTAAAAAGACTAAAAAAGAGTCAGAGCTGTGTTGTGTTTGCTTGCTTCTTTGCTCCTGTATGATAAAAAATAAATATATAACTGAATTACAAGACTGCAGCATATGAAAATTATATGCTCATGCAGATTTTGCATAAAAACCTTTAATTAAGTGAATTTCTTACAACTCTGAGGACACTCTGTTAGATCAAATTTAGTTTCTTAAGAGGTCTCTTCCACTGGCATCTAATAATTTTGCTTAGCATTTCCATGGAATAATAGCCAATAACTCATTTTTGTCATCTTCCATTCACCTTGGGTATGCCCTTCAAAACGCAGAAGCTTTCCTACTCTTATTTTAAATAGTGAACTTTAATGGAGTTGTTCTCATTCAGCCAGCAACTCCCCCCGCCAGGAACGCGCAATGAAGGGAAGCAACAGAAGCAGTCGCACCATCAACACAAGAAGGAGCTGCCCGGGTGGTACCTGCTACCTGCCCAGGGAAGCAGGAGCACTTCACCGTTTGTGATCTTTCTTCTATCTTGTTCTTATTGCAACATCTGTGGAGTGCGACCACTTCACAGGTCCCAGTTTTAACATGGTGAGCTGTGAAAATAAGATGAGTAATTTGATAACATTGCACGGTACTATCGTACTCTTTGGGGCTTTTTTAATTAGAAGTGCATTAAACTTGGCTCTGTAAGGCACTCTGCCATGCATGAAACTAGAATTACAACAGTACTAACACTAGAATGTAATGTTGATTTCTTTTCCAAATGTAGTATAACTATGTCTGGCAGAAAACATTGGCTAAATAAGAACAATTGGAGAAGGTCGCATATGGGATTGTTCTAGTGACGCAGGAAGCAGAAACATTATAAAACTAACCCAGAAACTACATTAATTTCTGGACTCCCAAAACCAGCTATGTAACTACTGAGGAGTTTTTTTTTTCTTTTCACTAAGGGATAACCTTTAAAATAGAAGCGTATCAAGATTAAAATACTCATACATGCATATGTCAGAACCTATGTCTCTAGATTTTATGTTCAGGGCAGATGCAGTTTTTGATATGATATCTCAAAACCTTCTTAAAGATGAAAAGGGAGCTGACAGGGTACAGGGATAGCCCACAAACAAAGTCCAGCAATAAAATCTACTAAGGAATCACATTTTAAATCTTACTGTTTGGCACTGCAAAGTAAGCCTGGGGACACAGACAACCAAATTTTTCAGTTATGGGAGGCAACTCTCATTATTCCATATCCAGTACCATCACCCCCATCCATGCTGCTCTAACTGATCACCAGAATCTTGCTACTAGAGTCCTACAAGAGGACTAATTTGATAAGAGGGGAGCTACCAAACACCTTTCAGCAGCCAGTTATCAAAGGATATGGAGCTGAGAAAAAGTGATTTTAACTGAACTTTCAGTTTCTACTGATACAAGACCAGGTATTTCTAAGAATGGTTCTTTTCCATCAGGAGCAAAAGAGAAAGAAAACTGAATTTATAGCTGGTATTGACCTACAACCTTGTGCAGGGAGGACTATTAATCATGCAAAGCAATAAGCGTTTTAACAGTAAACCTAAGTCCTCTATTTCTGCTGTTGCTTAACTTTTTGTATGTTTTATGCAAAGACTGTGTACTGAATCCTTCAGCTGCCTTTTATATCTCTAATAGTGAACAACAAATAAGAGCTTGAACGAGGAGAAGACCCTAATTGCAGGTTTTCAGGAGCCCAACACTGATCTCTGAATCCACTCAGTTGTTACTGCACCAGTATCAGCTCCCAAACAACTCAAGGAAGGAAAACGAACTTGTTGTTGGCTACGGACCCCAAGAACGTCCCTAGAGGCAAAAGCCATAGGCAGCAATTAGACTCCAGGTCTTCATCAACAAACATAAACCACTAAACATTTCATTCAGGCAATTACGCATTTTTCAGTAGAACAAAGTCCACTGAACAGTCTGTGATCTTTGTTGTCAGTCAGTGCATCGTACTATGTCAGGTTAGATTATACTCCACCACTTCATGCTTTACTACAGCCGAAATGCTATAACACGGTGCAAACAATTAACCCACATCATATTGTGATATGCTGAAATGTCACATAGAAATCAGAAATCTAAGGGGTATTTTTTTTGACATAAAAATGTTTTTCTTGTATAGCTATTTATCATTTTTAATTCAACAGAGGATGAGAGAAGCAATTCATAATATCTGCCTGAACTTTGCAATCTCTGAGACTTTGATCTCTGGGGTGACCTAATAGTGGCCTTCCAATACATGAAAGGGGCCGACAAAAAAGCTGGAAGAGGGCTTTTTACAAGGGCCTATAACGATAGGACAAGGGGCAATGGCCTGAAAGTGCAAAAGAGTAGATTTAGATTAGATATAAGGAAAAAAATTCCTCATCATGAGAGTGGTGAAGCACTGGAATAGGTTGCCCACGGATATTGTGGGTGCCCCATCCATGGAGGTGTTCAAGGCCAGGTTGGATGGGGCTTTGAGCAACCTGGTCTAGTGGGAGAGGAGTGTCCCTGCCCACAGCAGGGACGTTGGAACTAGGTAATCTTCAAGGTCCCTTCCGACCTTAATCATTCTATGATTCGATACCTTTGATGATGAGTAATATTTTTACAGCTACTAGCAGAGTCTGCTGTATAAATGACTTTTAATTACTTTCCAAACAATTTCACTGGTATATATGCCAATAAAACAATTTAAATAAATATATTCATTATTCACAATAAAAACAGTTGTAAGGGTTTTTTTAATTTGTTAATATGGTAAAAAATATTCTAGGATGTATTTGTAATGTATAATAGATAGTAGAACAAACATACACTGATTTTTTAAGTTCAAATTAATTTTTATTTTGATAGGCAACTACCCACACATGCTATCCGAAACTACAAAAGAAAGTAAATTTATTAGTAGGATGTGAACTTTGACCCACTTATGTTTTCACTATACTAGTTTTCAGTTCTTATTTGTATTATGATGTATATCACTGATCCTGAAATTTTGTCTCCTTGCTCTCCTATCAAATAGCTATACACTATTTTACCAGCTCTACAGCAATGCCATAATATACCTGCGAAGAGAAAATAAAGTAAAATGTGCACCAATAGCCATTTGGAATTTAAGCCAGTTAAAAGAACTGTTTTAAAATTCTGTGAGTGACATATTCATACTGAAACAAAACTTTTGAAAGAAACGTTTTAGAGTAATTAGGGAGAGAAAATCAGGCATTTTAAAACTTTTATGAGAAAAAAGTGTAATTAAATGAAACAGTCACATTCATGTACAATACAAAACATTTCAAAGGGTGAAAAGATATGTGAAAAACTGGAGAGAACAAAAAATAATCACATACTACTGATACTATTCAGGGAATCTTTAATAAAGCTGCTTTGAAATTTTCTAGGTATAAAACCAAAACAACCTAAAAAAGTATACAAAGATATTTCAAACACTGGAAATCTAGGCCAACCATCCTCTAGTTTCTATTTACCATCTAGAGTATGCAATGAATGTTCCTTGAGAAGAAATGTAGGGATTTCAGCTCCTTATGCTATCAAATAATTAAATTCCAGTGCAGTAAGTATAGGATCTGTCACATTCATGTGAAATGAGAGCCTCTATACAGTAGATAAAGGATTTCTCACAACCTAATACAAATTAACCTCATTAAGCCACTGAATCATTTCACGAAAGGAGGACAGTACTTTAGGAGATTCACATTTCAGTTTTGCTTCTTCTTCTCCTAGTACAGATTTTAAAGTATGTTGCTTGCTTTGCAGAAAATGTTTGAGGAACTGAATGTCATTTCTGTAATTCTACAAAAATTCATTATTCAAAACCACTGCAAACACTGAGTCCCGCATTCTCTGCTAATGCAAATAATCGTTCCTGAAATCAATGTGAAGAAGGACTGAAGAAAGAGACTCAGAGATATCTATGTGTACAGAATGTGAAGTTTTCCTGATGATTATGCATAACATAATATATGTATATATTATGTTCCGGAAGAATCAACACTGTATTATGAGAGCTTAACTTGAAAAACAGACATAACCATATCTTACCCATTAACAGTATATACCATAATTAACCTGCCACTTTTATAGCATTTTTTATGTAGCGAAATCATCAACAGCTCTCTCATAAATCAGTATGATATTGGTACACCAAAACCTCAAGTGTTCACAACCATCTCCTGGAAAAAATAAAGCTAAGTAATTATTATTTCTCATTTTACATAAAACTGAATGCACTTAAAGAGTATGTTTAATCATACACAGCAAATGACATTCAAATATATATGAATTCTACCTATTCTTGTTCCTTTATGGCAACTTTAAATTTCTTTCCTTCAGGAAAATGAAATTTCATTTAAATTTGCACAGTGCATCTGGCAGTAAGTTATGGCCCTTACTCTATTTCTGTGGGAAGTTTGTTACAGGTGAGAAGGCAAGTTACTGCTCAAGATCATTATTTTGCAACCCACAAATATGAATATAAGGTATTTAGCACAGATGCAGTGTTATACACAAATTTAGCATGAAATCAAAGGAAGCCTTCTGAATTCCAGTGTTTATTCTGATCACCATTTCCTCGCCTCACCACTTAAACATTCATGTTCAATTCCGACACCCATCTGCTCAGCCATTTGTATCCTTTATTTCCTGAAAGTTGCAGAGGTCATGCATTAACCGATAAGTGGACATTAACAAAGAGGAAGGTATCATGTTGCCACAGACTAGATGAAATGAAGTCATAGGCTGTCTTTGTTCTTAGGTTCCCCATCATTGCCATAGCCACATACAAAGTGGAAAAAAATAAAACAAGAAGTCTCTATTATATTGCTCTCTGCAAAGACACTGGCACAACTGGGTGATACAGTTAAACCCATCTAATGACTAACAGCTACTGGAAGGAAAAAAAGATCCCTTGTCCCTTTTCCCACACGCTTTCAGCCCTTGCTCACATGAACACTGTCATTTGATGGTGGTGACGGTAAGCCAGGGATTTAGACTGGCAGAAAAATACCCTCTTTTTGGTAGGATTAGTTCTCTACTGGTTTGGCTCCTACAACTGGGTGCAGAGACTAGTGAGAAGCAGTTTCAGCCATCAGGACGCAGCAGGAGCGGGCAGCCAAGAATACATGATTCCTCCTCCTGAGGAAACCAGTTCTTATATCAGCTTACAAGCTCTGCAGCTCTGCATTCTCTCATTAAATAAATGTATCTTATTATATTCCATTTCAGGTAATTCCTCTGAGGTCAGAGAGACCTCTTTTTGCTTGTGTCTGTGAGGTTTTGAAAACTTTTCACAAAAACAAAGCCTTAGTGGAAACAAGAAGCAACAGATCAGCAATAAGGAGAGAAATGGAAACTACTCAGCCATGAGTCCCAATCCATATTACATCTAATATTATATAAACTTTGGCCTTTTTGTCATCTTGGGTATAATCAGGAAGATGTCCCATAAAAACACTACAGTGATCCAGTCTTCAGATGTAGGTACTTCAGCAGTCTTTATTGATGTAAATCATATCCACATGTGCAATTGCGTTAAGGACTATAATGGAACTAC